AATACGCTTTGCAAAAATACCCAGGCTGAGGGGATCCTGAGCGTCTTTCGCGCACCCATAACTAATGGATTTGACCGCAAAGTTGTCTGTATCCCCACCCCCAAGCAGCTAATGACTGTATTTAGAAATGTCATGGTACCATAATCACTTCCAGTGACTGTCAAGTCCATTTAGTGTAGCCCTGTGGGCTGTGTTCTGCTTCCTAGCTTTTCTAGGAAACAAAGATGTTTAGTGGGGTTTACTTTTCTCTGACTGACATGAAGAAAATAATTTACACCTCTTTACAAGCAAGAGCAATCTAGTCTGGATTCCCTATAGAGGTATTTCTGATTCTGTCTTATCCTGGGGTTGTAACATCAGCAAAACCAAAGCACGCCTGACATTAATACAGAGGAAAAGCCATTGCTGTACTATTTTTCCTGCTAGCAAGGACTAGGGAGGAAAAGTGGAAGCCAGTTTGGCAAAGGGCATAACTTGGAAAAATTGGGATTACAGTTTGGCTGTGCTCCATTTGCGAAGAATTCCCACCAAAATGCTGCTGTTTTTGAAAGGCAATGTTTTGGCTCAGGAAGCCTGTCCTGAGCACTGCTTCTTGCAGCTCGCTCATCAATATTTTTGTTTCTTCTTCTTTCTTTTGAAATAGTTCCCCTTTGTTAAGTGGCACGTCACTGGGATTTCCATTGGAGGAAAAAGGGGGTTGAAGTTGCTGGGAAATAAATGCTGGGTCTTGTGCCATAAAGCAGTTTTGGGAAGTTAGGATGGCTATCCTCTGTAGGAGCTTACTTATCGGTGTGTTTACTGCGTAGAGACTTTTGCCCTTTTGCTCTGATCCCCTTTCTGCAATAGGATTAAATGATATAGTTTTCAGAGGTCGCACATTGACTTCAAAAACTGCTAGAGCATCCTTCCACCAGAAATTTTTCTTGATGTTTCTTTTCTGGAATGGCTTGCAATAGCTGAAATGAGAGATAGCACTGCTATGGTGGCTTTGCTACTTTTACTTCCAGGTGCAAGCACAGAGCAAGGGGTAGTTGTAACGAGAGGATCCAGGCATGGGACTATAGCCTATCTCTGAGCAGGAGGTAGCCACTAAACGGATATAATCTTGAATCTGCCTGACCTCATGGGGCAGCTTCAGAAGCAGTCCTTCGACCTCTTGCTTCCAGGAAGTTATGTTGTGAAGAAGTGGGAATTGTTTTTGCCTTTTCTGTGTGTTGCAGAGTGGTGAGGAAATGGTGGCTTTCTCATGAGCCTGGTGGTGAGCCATCTAGCCTTACCTGGTGAGATGGCTTGCAAGCTGTGTCTGCTTCTGGAAGAGCACTTCACTTGAGAGTAGGAGAAGGCTCTTTTAATAGTTACTGGCAGTGCTAGAGGATGTGGAAAACAGTATGGTTCCTTTCTGGATCAGTTCTCAGCCTTCTCAGTTCAGGATGGCAATGGGATTTGCTACTTACAGCTGAACCCAGAACTTTAGCTATCTCTGTCGAGGTGTGCCATCAGAAAGGGCTCAGTGCAAACAGGCCAGCGTCTTTCTCTGCGACTCGTGCATGGGATATACTTAGATTTGCTAGGTTGGTGATTAGGTTCAGCTTCTGTGAGTACCGTAGTTTGCTCTCAATCCCCTTTTTAGCAACATTTTTAGCATCTGAATTTCATTACTAGTGGAGATTTGGCTCCAGTGGGCTTACTGAAAATATGCTGCTTTCTGGGAAGCCAGTTCTATGGTAACATTAGACATTGTGGCTGCTGAAGCACTGAAGAATGTCTCCTGCTTCCCTGTACGTTCTGCTGTCGTCGCATTCTTAGCAAACCCCTAAGCCTCCCAAGCTCAGGGTCACCACCACGACCTGAGAAGATGCCATCTGGGATTTTCTGTCAGACTTGTTTCCTGGAATGGGAAGAGACTCCGATGACTGCTCTGTAGTTATAGCATCCAGCCCAAAGGAACTGTGTTCGTTTTATGTTGCTTTGTGTGTTACTGTTGTTTGTTTCAAAGATTTGACTTGCTGGAAATTTCTAGAGATTTTAGGGCTTTTGCAGTAGGTCTCTGATTGCACCAAAAATACTCTTGTACGTGGAAATCCTTTAGCCCACTCATCTCTTCTGAAGCAAATTCACGAAGCTGAGTTCTCAGAAGAGGAGTGAAGCAATCACGCTCATGTTTGGAGCCAGGGGTTCTCCTTTTGCTGGATGTCAGCACAAAACTCATCCTGTAGCACAGCTTGGCTTTGTCAGGTTCAGCCTGGCAGTACATTATAACTGCAATGTGTGCCTGGAAACCTTGTGCTGCCATATAGGGGAATTTGGAAGTAGACTCTTGGCTACTTTTGCTGGCTTCCAGCCATTGACACATCCTGCCCAGCTTCTCATGGTGTTGAGGATGGCCCTTTCAAATGCCTCTGGCTGCACCGAGCTCACACATAGGAACCACTCAGGGCTGGCCTCAGGAGCAGATGAGTGCTGTGCAGGACAGTCGCGACAGCTCAGTCCTTGCATGGAGGAGCTGACCTACTAAGGGTTACATGTTTGTTGGCTGGGGAGATGATGGTACGGAGACCCCAGGAAAGAATGAACTTAGAAAACAAATGAGCTCAGTTGGGCCAGTTGAATAAGGGCTGTGCCAGATCTTTCAGGAAACAGCTTTTATAAGGAGAGTGGAGCCTTCCAAACTTTGTACAGCCCAAGTGGCCTGGAGCTGATTCTGGCCAGTCTGCTTCTCTTGAAATGTGAACCTCAGCAAGGAGGGGTTGCCTGAGGCTGAGCTAAGGATAGCTGTAAAATTGCTTTTTAGGAAGCTCTAACTGCAGACAATAGCAAACAATCAAGAAGGGAAAGGGAGAAAGAGGATTCAGTGGGATCCCTTTAGAAAGCAGGAGGATACCTACTTTCTCCCTTCCCAGTCTGCTAAGCTAACCTGCTCAGCATAGGCATCAGTGAAGTCCACATAATTGGAACTTTTCTCCCAAAACTATTGTGGAGACGCTAATAGCTCCCTGCAAAGGAGATGGAAGACGAGTTACCCCTTTTCCAGCTGTGGGAACCTGATGTTCCACCATTTGCCTTGTGTCTGCATCAGAACTGAAGATGGAGCAATTACTGTTTTCCGCTTTAGCAAGATGGGCATCTCTGCCCTAGCACTCTTGTGTGGAGAATCCCAGGCTAGCTCAGAGCTCATAATCAGTAGCTGCCTTTTCTGTAGGGCTTCAGCTAGTGCTGCTGGGGTGCAGACAGTATTTCCCAGGGAGAGTGCTGTGCTCAAGCAGTTGTTCTGCTTCTGACGCTCAAGCTGTCTTCAAACGAACTAGCTCAAATTTCTCTCCATAGCAAGGCACCGTAGACCCATGAGAGAAAAGGCCTTGGGAACATTTTGTTCCTCTGAACTCTTGTGTTTCTCAGTGAACTCCTCTTTTTGGTGGGCTGCGTTAGGGCTTTGGAGAAGGTTTTAGGGCATCTTTCTATGCAGTTCCACTTTCATGAGCATGAAGATGAAGTCAAGTTGCTGAGACTGATGGGACTAACAGAATTACCACGGATTTACTAGGTAAGGGGCTGTTTTTCCTTCTCCTTGCCTTTCTCTCAGCTCTTGGTCTCTGTAGTAATGCTTTCTTTGCAATAGGAAGGGTAGCGTGGCTATTGCTGTCCTACAACAGCAGAGAACAAGCCCTTCTTTGGGGTGGGAAACCAAGATACTGAGGTTTGCCACTGAGTTTGATGGGAAAGAAAAAGCACCTTTTCCCACATACGCAAACTGCCCCAGCGGTGCCCTGAAGAGCTTTACCTTTTTAGCCTAGACCAAAATCCTTTTTCTGTATCATAGGTGACCAGTAGCATGCTGGGGGCCTTCCCACTCTCTTTTCTTCCACGGAGACTTCAGCCCTTCAGGTTTATTCCTCTAGATAACCTATCCAAAGCCTGAGAGATGCCTTACCCCCATCTCCTATTTTGTCTATAGTTTTCTCAAGGACTATCAGGAACAAGTAAGACTAGCTGTGCTCCCTCCAGTATGATCTCAACCACGAGAGTGTAAGGAGCTGCAGCAGTTTGGAGCTGTCTTGATAGTGGCACTAACTCAGCTTCACTTCACAGACATGTGGGACTCCGTGCTTATGCTATACCTAGGCCAGGTACAAAGGCATTTTGCTGGTCCTCCCTCTTTTTTGCCAGGGTATCCACACAATTTGGAGCTTTGCCATGAATGCTAAGTGCAGCGCTCCTGGAAATGCTGTCTCCCATGCCTGCTTCCCCATCTTAGGAATAGCCTATGTAGCTGACTGCTTCGTGGGCTGGGACTAATTATGTGTGCACTTGGGTCTG